TGGGATTACAGGCACGCGCCACCATGCCCAGCTAATTTTTTGTATTTTTAGTAGAGACGGGGTTTCACCATGTTGACCAGGATGGTCTCGATCTCCTGACCTCGTGATCCACCCGCCTCGGCCTCCCAAAGTGCTGGGATTACAGGCTTGAGCCACCGCGCCCGGCCCTATCTTACTTTCAATACATTTTGAACCAGAACAGAAGCACTCATGGTTGCAAACAGCACTCACCTGTCATCATATAGCGCTTTTACTGTCAAAACACTTTCACATCTATTATTTCATTCTAGCCTCACTACAATCCTGTGAGGGAGGTACAATAGGGATCATTAACTCTACAGGCTCCTCTATCAATCTCCACTATGCAAACTTTCTTACTCTTTGCTGGTCAACCTTTCCTCCTCTTCCATTATTTATTTTCTCATTCTATTTTCTAGGTTTAACAGAGGACCCAAAAGTACTTAACAACCCCTTTAAAGACACCCAGGGTAGAAAAGGTGTTGACTTAGGAAGCACAAAACTGGCTATGAACATGAGGTCCAAGACGATACTGTTTACCAAAACACTTGTAGAACAGTGCTATCCAAAAGAATGTTCTATGATGATGGAAATGTTCTGTCTCTACTAATACGGTAGCCACAGGCTTCACTGAGTGCTTAAAATGAGTCTGGTATACACCTGAAAAATTGAATTTTAAGTTTTATTTAATCTCAATTTCGATTTACTAAGCCACATGCGGTTACTAGCACAGTTCTAGAGACTTCTGACAAACCTTTTGTGGTATTAGTGACAGTGTACATACCTTTATTATCGGTATAAATAATATGATATGCTATAGGATGTTTTACTGGAATTTCTTCAAGAGTGGGACCATCATTCTCATTCAGTGTGATGTATTTGGAAATTTCCTTGTTTTTCTTAGGGTTAAATAATAGTAGGTGGAGCAGAACACTCATGGCATGTTTTTTGACTCTGCTTGAATAGACCGCATAAATTTGAGCAACCAAAAGATACTCCCTCAGATCCAGACTCGCCACCCAGATTTATAATATAGGGTTTCTTCTAGATACCTTTTTTCTTCTTTCCCACCAGTATTCATCGCCTAAGGCAGTAAAGAACATAAATCTTAAGCATTTAAACCCTCAAATATAAGGCGTCCTGATCATAACCAAAGCAACAGGTAACTCATGGACCTTCATCTTCCCTTCTCTCATAAAGTACTCGTTTCCCCAGGCAGATTAACTTCCAACAGCACTCAAATGAATGCAAGAATCCCGCAGGATAAAGTAACCTACAATTTGTGTTCCTATGTCTTAGCAAACCTAAAATGGGGAAGCGTTTGCTTCCCCAGGAGTAAATTATGCTGAACAGAGGTAAACATCATCTGTTACTTCCAGCTAAAACATAATGGAAGAAACCATCCTGCCACTCCCATAGTCTTGTGTTCTTGCCTGTCTCGAGCTATACCCACCCGGCTCTACTACCCAGGACCCAGAGCAATTCACCTTGAAACTCTGTGTTGTCAAGGCCCCTGATGGCCTCCACTGCATCCTCTGCCCGCTCCATGTGTACGAAGGCATAATCTTTCACGATGTCACATTCGATGACCGGACCATACTCTTCGAACTTGGCTCGAAGCTCTTGGTTGGTACAAGTGGGGCTGATGTTACCCACGTGTAACTTGGTTGAAGCTTTGCTCTTATTCTTGCTGGCTTCCACGTTGATGTTCACCCCATGAAGCTTGTAATGGTGCAGGTTGCGTATGGCATCCTCGGCTGCTGTCTTGTCTTCTATGTGCACAAAGCCGTAGTTCTTAATGATGTCACATTCCAGCACCTTCCCATACTGCTCGAAAAGAGAGCGGATCTCCTGCTCTGTGGCCTCCCGGGGCAGGTTTCCGATGAACAGCTTCACCATCCTGACAAGAGCCTGGGCGAGAAAAACAAGATTTCAAAAGTCAGGGGTGTGGTGGGAAATTTTGGGGCACTGCAGCATTTTCGTATACTCCTCCAAAGTTCTTGCGCCTTAAGGACCCTCACATAGACATTCGCTATCCTTCCTCAATAGAGGGAAAGCGGTTTGTTCTTGAGGAGTGCGAGCTATGTGTGACATGCAAACAGCAGGTCGAGGGTCAGCATGCATAGAGCAGTCTATCATCTCCGTGAAATGGAGCGTAAATACCAGAATTAGCTGTTCCATGTCTTAAAATGAGGAAAGAGAAACGCCCAAGCAAAAGCAAGGAACATCTATCGCACTGCGCCTGCTAATAAGGTTTTGGAGGGAAATCTATGTGCCTCTCCTACGTGCGCCAGCACCTTTCAAGATACCCTAAAAAGAAAGAAGTCCCCTTTCCCCCAAACCGGGACCAATTACCCGTCCCCCAGCGGCCCGCCCTCCAGCTCCTTCTCCCCAACAAAGACTCGACCCGACCCCTGCCCCGCCTCCTTCCGGAGACCCGGCCCCGCCTCCTCCCGTTGTCTTCCCGGACTTCCCGCAGCAAAACGTGAAAACCAAATCCGGACCACGCTGTCTCCAGGAGGTCTGGCCCAGCCCGCCCCCAGGCTCCCCACATCACACACACAAGAACCTCTCGCACCTCCGGGTGGCGGCGGCGGCAGCGGCTCCCGCGTCAGAGCGAACCCTACAAAATGGCGACGGCCGCTCGAGCCTCGACGCTACCGGGCCCTTTCTCGCGCGCCAGCTCGCGCACGCGTGAGTGCGCACTGCTTCCTCCCGCTTCGCCTCGCGGGATCCAAGTGGCCAATCCTGAAGCTGCATACAAATGACCGCGCAGCACGGGGGCGGGGCCTGCTGGTGGCGTTGCTGCTCCGCGGAGGCCAGCCCGCCCTCAGCCCGAGCCAGCCAATCACTACCCTGGAAGTGGTCGCTACTCCTGCGTCAGAACAGCTCTGGACGCCACCACTGCCTAGAGAAGTGGAGGCCCGGGGGGAGTCACTCGCCATCACAATGGGTCGCGTTATTGGGCCCTCTGAGGGGGCGGGGTGCTGATGACAAAGGGTAATCTCTCTTGAGTGCCCTAAAAAGGGGCTTTCGTAGCCGGCTGGCCGGCCTCTGTGGCAGCTTGGGGCAACATTTGAGAAATACAGACGCGCCACATTTTAAGCAAAACTAGGCATTGTTTTGTAGAGCTTTAAACATTAAAGTTTTTATTGCAGACGTGTTATTTATTGGTACGGAAACTGAGAACCAAGGGACAGAAAGATAACCTGGCATTGCTACTCAGGCTACGCTTAGTCATGTTTTGTTTGCTCATGAGTCCCCGTGGGCTGGTTCTCTCTCTCTCATTGTGTGTCCGTCACAGTCCTGGTCTGTGGTGAGCACAATAGAGGAATATTTGGTGGAGAGGCCCAGTGAGGTCCCAGTTTTGGGGTGGGACAGGGTCTCCTCGTCCGCACCAAGCTGGAAATCTACGTAACTGAGTTTCCCAACACACACGAGCATTCCAAATTCAGCTGTGGTCCAAGGGCACCTCCTGGCGGTAAAAAATTTAGATGGGCCGGGCGCGGTGGCTCACGACTGTAACCCCAGCACTTTGGGAAGCCGAGGCGGGCGGCTCACGAGGTCGGGAATTCAAGACCAGCTTGGCCAACATGGTGAAACCCCCGTCTCTATTAAACATACAAAAATTAGTCGGGCGTGGTGGCGCGCGCCTGTAATCTCAGCTGCTTGGGAGTCTGAGGCAGGAGAATCGTTGGAACCCAGGAGGCGGAGGTTGCAGGGAGCCGAGATCGCACCACTGCACACCAGCCTGCGTGACAGAGCGAGACTCGGTATCAAAAAAAAAAAAAAGGCTTAGGCGGATTCCCCACTGTCACCTTCCAACAAAGCATAGCAGTTTATGGAGATTGATGAATTGGGTTTATCTCCTAGTAGAGCCTGCCAGACAGATTGTCAGCCACCATTCCCCATTGTAGTGGCTTCATAACGGCTTCTCTAATATTATCAGGCACACATTCCCCAGGCTGCCCTCTTCCACCCCAGCTACTTGAATATGTTCTTTCCCTGAGTTCTTTTTGTTTCTCAGCCATTTCAGAAGAGGCACTGTCCTTCCAATTTTATTTAATTTTTTTTATTTAATTTTTTAAAAGAGTCTTGCTGTATCACCCAGGCTGGAGGGCAGTGGGGAGATCTCAGCTTACGGTAACATGTGCCTCCCAGGTTCAAGCCATTTTCCTGCCTCAGCCTCCCAAGTAGCTGGGACTATAGGCATGCACCACCACACCTGGCTGACTTGTATTTTTTGTAGAGACAGGGTTCCACCATGTTGGCCAGGCTGGTGTCGAACTCCTGACCTCAAGTGATTCACCTGCCTTGGCATCTCACAGTGCTGGGATTACAGGTGTGAGCCACTGTGCCTGGCCCTTAACTATTATTTTTGAGTCAGAGTGTCACTTTGTCACCCAGGCTGGAGTGCAGTGACACCATTATGGCTCACTGTAGCCTCGACTTCCTGGGCACAAGTAATCCTTCCACCTCAGCCTCTGGAGCAGCTGGCACCACCGGCAAGGGCCACCACATCCAGCTACTTTTTAAAATTTTGTTGTAGAGATGGGGGTGTCTCATTATGTTGCCAGACTGGTTTCAAACTTCTGGGCTCAAGATGTTTCCACTTTAGCCTCACAAAATGCTGAGATTACAGGTGTGAGCCACTGCACCTGGCTTACTATGTGCTTCTGATTTAAAATAGCACTATCCTATATTAATATCATCTAATGTTTATGCTCAAATTTCTCCTGGATTGTTACAAATGTGTTTTTACAGTTGATTTCTTCTAATCTGGACTTAAACATGGTACATTTGCATAAATTATGTAAATAGTGTTTTTTGAGTTGTATAGCTCATTGTGCCTTACTGTTTTTCCACTAAGGGCTATGTTGCTTCATGATAGCTAACTAGTGAGTAACGCAGTACTCCGTAGTGTACAATCACATATTGTACCTGTTCATCTCTGGGCATAGGGCGCTCAGGTTGCTTCCAGCCCTCTGTCATTATAAATAAGGCTGTGGCCAGGCACGGTGGCTCATGCCTGTAATCCCAGCACTTTGGGAGGTACAGGTGGGCAGATCATGTGGTCAGGAGTTTGAGATGAGCCTGGCCAACATGGTGAAACCTGGTCTCTACTAAAAATACAAAAATTAGCTGGGCATGGTGGAGGGCACCTTGTAACCCCAGCTACGCAGGAGGCTGAGGCAGGAGAATCGCTTGAACCTGAGAGGTGGAGGATACAGTGAGCCGAGACCATGCCATTGCACCCCATCCTGGGTGACAGAGAGATAATCCGTCTCAAAATAAATAAGTAAATAGACAAGGCTGCAATGAACATGCTTAACTATGTGCCCTAATTCTGTTTGAGAATTTGGGGGGATATAAACCCAGAGGTGGAATTGTTGGGTCATAGAGGATATCTAGAACGCATCTGTCTAGGCCGGGTGCTATGGCTAACACCAGTAATCCCAGCACTTTGGGATGCCAAGGTGGGAGGATCACAAGGTCAGGAGCTCCAGACCATCCTGGCCAACATGATGAAATCCTGGTGTGGTGGCATGCGCCTGTAGTCCCAGATACTCAGGAGGCTGAGGCAGGAGAATCACTTGAACCTAGAGGGCAGAGGTTGCAGTGAGCTGAAACCACGCCATTGCATTCCAGCTGGAGTGACAGAGACTCTTTCAAGAAAAAAAAAAAAAAGAAAAAAAAGAAAAAAGAAACCTATCTAAGTAGCACAAATTGTTCTCTGGAAAAGCCACACCAGCATACTCTTCCACCTGCAGTACATGAGGGGCCTTGTATCTCTACATCCCTGCCAATGATTGACATATCCACTTTTCTAATTTTTGTCAGTCTAATAGATATAAAGTGATATTTCATTGTTGCTTTAATTTGTATTTCTCTGGTCACTAATGATTTTAAGCATCCCTTCTTGTTCTTGTCTCTCTCTCTCTCTCTCTTTTTTTTTTGAGATGGAGTCTTTTGTGATCTCAGCTCATTGCAACCTCCAGTTCCTGAGTTCAAGCAATTCTTCTGTCTCAGCCTCCTGAGTAGCTGGGATTACAGGAGCGCGTCACCATGCTTGGCTAATTTTTGTATTTTTAGTAGAGACGGGGTTTCACCATACTGGTCAGGCTGGTCTCGAACTCTTGACTTTAGGTGATCCACCCTCCTTGGCCTCCCAAATTGCTGGGGTTACTTACAGGCGTGAGCCACCACACCTGACGTTTTTTTTTTTTTTTAATTTTTTTTTAGAAAAGGTCTTGGCTGGAGTGCAGTGACACAATCATAGCTTACTGCAGCCTTGAGCTCCTGGGCTCAAATGATCCTCCTGCTTCAGAATGCTGAAGCCCGCAGCCCCCAGCCTCCCAAGTAGCTAGGATTACATGCCCAGCTAATTTTTTTGTTTGTTTGTTTTTGGTAGAGATGAGGTCTCACTATGTTGCCTTGGCTAGTTGTACACCTAGCCCCAAGTGATCCTCCCACTTTAGCCTTCCAGTATACTAGGGTTACAGGTGGCCTCTTGAATTTTCAAGTTTGTGCTTCTGTAAATTTCCTGTTCATATCTTTTGCCCATTGTTGTTTTCAGGTTGCAGGGTCCTTTTTGTTGTTGATTTTTAGGGCTTTTTTGTATATTCTAGATATTAATCTCTTACTGGTCTCAAGTATCATATCTCATTCCACTAATTAT